AGAAGAATGAGTACCAGCCACATCCACCAGCTGCTGTCCATCAGAGATAAGACTTTAACCATGTAAGAATGTCATTACCTATGACAAATGCTTGAAGTTCCATGAAGAAGAACAAGAGGAAAAGAAGAAGAAGAACTTCTTCATGTGCAGTATAATATGATCAACTTATCAAATGCCTTTTGTAGATCTAAAAGTAACATGCATACAATACTGCCTTTGTCCATTTCAACTTTAATACAATCTGTTAAATGAAGCAAACATGTGTCAGTTGAAAAACCACTTCTAAACCCCGACTGAGACTGCCTGACCATGACTCGAACCAATTACTGTCAGAAGACAAATTGAGCTATCCGGCCGGCTACACATTTTTTCTTTAATAATGAACAGTTCTAAACCACAACATATTTCCCCCACTATATTGATTTGTGTCCTTGGATTTCTGATGTTTACAGAGCATAGTGAATTAAACTCGGGGTTATATGCAGTCACAGGATGAGAAAAACTTTCAGTTTGACCAGAACTCGAACCTCTGACCCACAGAATAATGTACCGTGGCTGTAGCAATTGAAACATTTTCTCCCCTAAATAGTGAACAGTTCTAAACCCTGACAGGTACTTTTGGATTTTTTAATTAACAGGTAGATTAATTTTTCATAAACAAATAAGAAAAAACAAACTAGCATACTCGTAGACTTAACCAAAATAACAATTTATATATTGTATAATTATTTTTACTAAAAAGGGGCTTAGACAGTTATTGGTTGTGACATTATTTATAACAGGTCAATTTGAAAGTGAACATAACTGTACTAATACATGTACAATATCTAATTTTTTGTACAGATAAAAAACTAACCTTTTTTCTATGATAAGAAATTTTATGAATGCTGATTTGTATTTTGCATCAGGATGCACCGGGCGAAACATGAAAATACAACAAACGAACGACTTTGTGGTAGACTGTATTTTCATGTTTTCATTTGGCGCCCGGTTACTTTTTGTACTTTGTTTGTTTTCATGTGGCACAAACCATTCACTTTAAAATTTAGTGCACAAATTTATTCAAGTGCAAGAAACAATCTACTATATAAAATGTCTGTTGTCGGGCTGGAGGTTGAGACCGGTGTTCCTCCATTACACGTTGATAAGACAGAACAGTCCTTTTCAAACTATGCACATGTTGGAAAAAATAAGAATAACAATTCAGAATATGATGATTTGAGACTTTATAAATTATATTGCTTGATCCAAGTTTATAAGGACATTTTGAATCAATACATGCATTATCATTTATAACTTTAAATGGAAGTCTCATTCCTTTAATAATAATGTCATAACTGTAATTCGTTAAATACAGAAATATTATAAGACTCATCATATCCATATACTAAGATATACATGTATACACACAAAACTTTTTATAATTTCCAGTTTCTAATAAATAAAAATAACATTCTATTAACATTGGTACTTGGATGAAATTCATAAGATTGTAGAAAGAAAACAATAATGTATAATATAAAAGTAAAAAAGAATCTCAAATAGTCTATATCATATGAATAAATAAAGATTGAGTTGTATGGGTGTCTAAACATTAAATGCATATCTCTAACAGATACAAAGTTAATATTGTCCCTCTTTTAACCTTCCATTAGACTTTACTATATAACTAACTGCATATATATCAAGTGTTTAAAATTGATAACTTCAGGAGATTATCCTTTCTCTGTTTCAATATATGGACATGAGCACCTATATGCACAGCTCTAATTTTCTACCTTTTATTTTATTATTTTATTAACAATTTATATACAAACACATAGAAAATAATAATTAGTTTCACATAGTGATTAGAAGATTCTTATAGCATAATACCCGTAGGAATGTTCTAACTGAACAAACTAGAAAAATCCAGTGTAAGGTATATAAAGCCAGTAAAAAAACAATATTCACTCCTCAGGGCCTCTATGCTTTTGATATCCTTACAACTGATAAATTTTATACAATAAAAATAGTAAGTAATACCTAAGCTCGACAGAAAAGAACAAATAATTTAGTAAAAATGAGTTACTGCCCCATAAAATAGAGAAAACCTGAAACCCAAAAGAACACCCTAAACAGCAAAATTATGAAATATTGCAGACTCAGTTTTATTAAGCCATGCAAAGTAATGATTTAGTATTCATAAAAAGTTTGATGGCCATGTTATAGCAGTAATGGCATTAATTGCAGAAAATTGGATAGATTTCAACATCCGGATACTGATACACTTTGTAAAAACAATCATTCTGTGCAATAGATGAATGTAATATGGATAAAATCAATAGGATAATCGTTTACAACAGTTCCATTACCATTCTTCATACTCATTTTCATGTGAACGTTCTTCTTGTAGGAAAATGTTGAAGATATATAAATGAATGAAAAAGAATAAGGCATTCAATGTAGATCACAACGATATTCGAAATCCGGGTTTTAGTATTGCCAATAAAGCTAAGGGACAAGCTGTTAAACTGAGCCTGTAATTTCGTGAAAATAATATCACAATGCACATGTTTTTTACATAAAGTTATTAAATACAAATATAACAACATATTTGTTTACTTGAGTTTTATGAATCAAAATAAAACAAATTAACAAAACATGACATTAACTGCTAATAATAACAGTTCCTTCCATAGGCCAAAATAAAAAGCAGTCCATAAGAGACGACGCCGCTCACCGGCGTCGCCAATAATAAGACCAAAACAAAAACCAACAATATAAAGCATAATTTACATTATTGAGATATATTTGTGCATTTATGTACATAGTAGTACTTTTAATTACAGCCAAAATATGAAATATGTAAATCAGTTTATACTGAAATTTAAATAAAGGTGATTTTCCAAAAATTCTTCATTCTGGCACAAAAACTTTGCACCTAGTATACATTTATGGAGAGGAAAGCAGGTATAAGCTAATAAAATCACACGTGCATGCGCCGTTTATTCACCTTTTACATATGGGTGAATTGAAACCCCATGTAATGATAAATTTGTTTAATGCCGCCCGATAGTTTCATTATCAAAAAATTACTGTCAAATGTTTTCACAATTGTACATGAAAAAAGATTACGAACCGACCTTTTATATCTAAGAAATAACGAAACGTGAAATTATTTTTATGCAAGGGGTACCAGTTTGGGGTACACGTCCAAGGGGAGGGGCGCTGTTTACCAAAGATTATCCTAGAGGCGGTGTTTTCAGGAAAAAAGTGTTAAAATGTTTGTCAAGTGGGGGATATTTTGTGATATAGAGGTTGTCCAAAGGGTACATGTCAGGGGTAGGGGCTTTAACGCGTTTTTAAATGACAGTTCAAGGTAGAGGGAGGTATTGTACCGTCCATAGGTTGTACATGTGGTACTCATTCGGGAAAAGTGCGTTTCAAGGAGAATGATGGAGGGCTACAATGCTTGTCCAAAGGGAGTATTATTTAGGAAAAGAGTATTTTATAGGTGGATGGTAATGATGATATACTTGATGATTTGGCAAAGTATGTTGAATGCAATGATGGTGATATGAAGCAGAATGATGATACTGTTTGTAAAAGCAAACATGTTGCACCTGTGCCTCACAATAATGATGGTTTATATTTTTAAAACTGATATAGATATTTTGTTGATGACAATGATGAATAAACGTATTTTGATTGTGATGCCATGTTTACAGTGCTAATGGTGATGATGAGCAGAAATATGTTGAATGTGATGATGATGATGATGATGATGATGATGATGATTATACCGATAATGGTGAAAATGAGCAGAATATTTTTATTGTGATGATGATGATGATGTGTATGATGATTGTAGATATGTTCACTTCAATAAGTATGGTGATTATGGATGAGCAAAATATGTTTATAGTGTAATGGTATATAAAAGTCTGTTATAAGCTTGGTCAGTAGAGCTGCAAAATGGTATTCCAAGGGTCTTTGGTCCGAGTGCACATTTTTTTTTCACCATGAGACATTAGGCACCAAAAGATAAACCGTGATTGTATCATGTATGCAGCTTAAAGGTCACTGAATAGTCTTCATTCTCTGTAACAATAGGCAATGACATAATTCAAGTGCAAAGTGTGTTAAAATATAGCACTATTCACTTTATTAATGGGAGAAAATGTGAAGCTGTCTGAAAAGTGAGTTTAGTTGCAGAACATTATTTCTTATGTCCCTGGTTTGAGTAGAGTTCAGGCTGCATATATTGTTCTCTCACTACATGACAGTTGCAGTAATTATGAATTGATGATGACAATCTGCTGCTGTTTCTTAAAATAATTTCTGACATTTGCATTGAAATATAAAGTTACCGTTTAAGCACGAAAATGGTGAAGTTTTGGATTATGAAACATCCGCTGATGTGTTCAAATAATAATACATTGTACTCCAAAATATTATTTGCAACAGTCCAGATGCAATAATTCTTTTCTATTGGCAATTTTAATATATATAGATCTTCACATTCTCGAGTCTGAATCCCACAGCATTTTCAAATATTGAAATAAAAAAAACATTCTCTTAAACACAAATATCTTACATTCTCAATATATATTGCAAATATTTGTGAAAATAAAGTGTTTGTCTCAGAATACAAACACATTATGAAGGAACCTTTCTAGACATGCTCTATGTAACGTCATATAACAAAATAAATCGAAAAGTCAGAATTATTTAAAGTCAAATTCGGGTTTATACACCTGTCACTATTATGTAAAAAATCAAGGTGCATTTTAATTACTTCTTACCCGATAAAATTACACAGTGTACAGAGTTTAAATCGATCATTGAATTGAACGTGTGCTTTAATGATAAAACGCTTTTCAAACCGTTGTAAACCTACATTATGCATAACTACCGATTAGCTATATGTAGTTTGAAATAACGAACGAGGTATAAACGGTTCATATCACGTTATTATGATAGCTGAATAAAGATATGTAAGAAAAGCTACGCGGAAGTAAATTTTCAAATGTAAAATACGTTGTCCTATCTAGTTTTTTCTTCTTTTTCTAATGGAAGAGAACTGATAACCAAACAATACCATTTTGAATGCTACAATTTAAGGTTACTTCATGAGCAATGGTAAGTCACATGTTTAATACACTCAAATGTAATATAACATTTTATGATGAAAAACAGTAAAGTATTATGTGGTTCTACGTAACTCCTTAATTAAACCTGTATTTTTAAGAGAGATTTTTCGGACACGGTCCGTCTGTAAATGTTACAGGGACAAACTGAATCTTACAAGATATAATTTAAAAGAAATAATAAAAATCGATGCAAAAAATAGCTAATAAAACTAAAATATTTTTGCGACTTAATAGGTGTTTAAATGGGTAAGAAGACAATGAGTTTAGTATGTGTATGAAAACTCATAATAATAAACATAAAATTTGTTTTATGTTAATATACCATTACCAATACAGTTCATTTTTAACAAAAGGTTAAACGATATAAAACGTTGAACGTATCTGATTATTTCAAAGACCTAAAAAATGTGTATGTATTTTTTGTAGACAGACCCCTTGGCAGTATGGGCAGAAGACAGACGGAACACAATAAAGGAGTTGCGAAAACTTGCTGAGGAAATTAAACTCCATGCCAAGAAAGCAAAGATTGCTAGTGTTGTTGGCGGAGGAACAAGTGTTGTTGCAGGCATTGGAGCAGCCGCTTGTTTCTTTGCTGCACCATTTACTTTTGGTGGGAGCCTTGTTCCAGCAACGGCCCTTACAGGTATTGCAATAGCTGGAGGTGTAACATCTATAGGATCTTCAGTAACAAACTATTTCATCGAAAAGGGATATCTTAAAAGTGTTCAAGAGGCTCTTGATAAAGATAGAGAATCATTTAATAAACTCAAAAAGGCTGTTGTAAAGGCTAAAGCAATCACCGCAAAGGAAAGTGTAGAGTGTGCTTTTAAGATTGGCAAAGGCATTCCAGGTGGTGTAAACGTTGTTACATCCATTGCTCGTAAACTCACAGTATCTGAAAAAGCTGCTGCCAGTCTTTTAAAACTCGGTCGGACAGCAAGATTTGCCGGCCACGCAGTTGCACTCGTTGCTTTACCACTTGATATAATCTTTTTTGTTAAAGATGTTATAGATTTGACCAAAGGAAATGTCTCAAAAGCCGCTGAAAGAGTTTATGAATTAGCAAACAATTTACAGACAGAGATTGATGATATACTAGTGGATTCTTAAACATTGATAGCTGTTAACCTTATTTTAATATTTTTTGTTTGAACTTGTATTACATGATACCCTCTGCGAGGCAATACTCTTTGGAAGACAAAAGAATGGCTGATGCTGAAAGGTGTCGCTCGTGATAGGTTAGTGCATGATGTGGTCCTTTTTTTAGGAAACATGTTGATATAATAATGTTTTTAGGGATAGCTCAGCAGAGGTTGCATTGTTATACGTATTCAGTTTCGTATTTTCTAGTATATAATTATATTAAATCTTTCTGTTTTTTTTTACCCTTCTAACATTTTATTTATCATTTTACTATAATTATTAAAAATTTATGATGTTTTAGTTTAATTTTATTTCTATTTGAATTTAAAGAGAAATATTAATCGCATGTTGTTTTATGAATTTACTATTTATCTGCTGCATGTGTATGGTGTAGTGCTGACATACATTTTGCATTTACAAGTTTCAAATTCTAAACTTATACTACAATTTGTCACAGTGCATACAATACTTTATAATTAAATATGAACACATTGGCTATGATTAAATCCATATTCATTTTCTTTTCTGTTATGTTCTGTTTGACATCAATTTCATACTTTTAAAAATCTGTCTATTGTTTGAGTTTTACGTCGCGTCTACATTGTCATGGTAATATGACGACTTTTCAGGTTTTCTAGAAGAGGACAACACCTAGATGCCCCATCCGTGCACCGAACACGCCCCTGAGTATAACCACCAACGTTTCATAAGCTAGCTCTGAAATTGTAAATAAACACAAATCTAACAATGATTTTCTTTTTAATAATTTTAGTTGATATATGTTGCAACAGTGAAACCAACTAATATGTCAAGTACATTTCAAGTGTACACATAGAGGCGTTGACTGCAATGTGAATCAGAATTAGAAGATGGAGGGAGAAGATTAATGTTTTCACACTCGGTTAGATCAAAACGCTTGGTGGCAGATTGACCTTACTGCAATTTATGGAATTACCAAAATAGTTTTGTACAAAAATATCTAGGTTTAGTCTTTCAAATTGTTATGTCAAAAAGAGAAAAATATGTATACTAAACAGAACATTTAAGTTTTTACTATAAATACAGGATTTATTTTCATCTTGAGATATGAAAGTTATCATGCATGAGCACCACTCCTGAAATATTTATTTTCATACCACTGAAATAAAGACTGTTTTTATAGAAGAAACTTAAAAATATCTAACATTTATTTACTGAAATGAATATGATTTGCTTTTGTCACTAGTACAGAGACTACAAAAGGTTACTCTATACACCTGTGTAGTTTTGTTTTTCAGTTTCTAAACAGTTGGTAACTTAATTTATTTTGATATTGAAATCCTTTTAACACTGAATGAACTGTTCTAAATTATAAGCTGGGCAAAGTCATGACTGAATTTCTTATTGTACAACACATATCTATATAGCATAACTATATAGAGGACTTTCTCAGTGTTAGATCAAAATATACTTTACCGAGAAAAGATTTCATATTTTCATTAGATTCAAAATGTGAAAAATAAACTTTCTTTATTAATGTCGTGCCTTATAGGGGGATAGCAGAGGAGAGTGTGGATGGAGGAGGGTTGGTATTCGGTAACGGGGCATTAATTGTGTTATGTTGTAAAGAATCATTGAAAATAGTCCTTTCTATCCATATTAGATTTTTTGTCTTAAACGTCAACTAAAATCTAGATTAAAATTCATAGTTTAGAGCTCAGATTGATAAAATTTCTACAACGATTTAAGTATTCGATTTTAAAAAGCAATTATTTTACGTAACAAGTCTAGTTGTTCGTATCATCGGCATTTTGCAGTTCAATGATTTTTAGGCGTTTTTGCCTTTCAATTACTTATTCAAAGTTGATCTGGTCTACTCCCCTTTTACCACTTACGCAATTTGAATTACACATTTCAGGATTGAATCGTACCTCAAGTTCTTTCGATGAGTTATGGCCCTTGTAAAGGGCATTTTGACCGGTTAATGATTTTATGTCGCCTGGTTCACAATAGCTGATAAATGCAACAAAATAGTCACAATATATATAGATCACTAAGCGATAGTCTAAGAGTTGTGTCCCTTATAAGGCTGTTCGTGTTTTTCTTGCTGAAAATAATTGGCAATAAAATCTTGGTATGGGAATAGACGTTGTTGCTTTAGGAATTAGAATTGGATTATTTTACGTCGCGCAAGTGTCGGAATAGATTATGTACAGTGTGCGTTAGCAAACGGAGTGGAAGTGTTTGTTTACGGCTAGTATCTTTTCTCGCTGTATTCACTTTACTTGGTAGGATTGAAAACTAACCAGGGGCCTCCTAGGTCACAGAAACAATGTACACTTTCTTTTGCTGAAATGACGGGCTCTCCCTCAAGATCGGTAACATTTCCGACAGCATCCAAGGAAAATGCAAAGCGTACAACAAGATCGACGGCAGGACAGGATAGTGAGGTATTATCTTTATTTCGAGATATGGAAAATGAAAAAAGTACAGATTTAGCTGCAATTTATATTAAAATTGATGATATAAATTCTGTAAACTCCTTTAAAATCAGAAAATGAGTCACAAGAAAATCGAGATAAGAAAAAAATAAATGCAGAAGTTTTTTACAAAAGTTAAGACAATTAAGAAGGGCAATCCCGTAGAGATCATCTTAGATTCATGGAATACTTGGCAATCTTTGTGAAAAATGGAAGGATACTTAGGTGAATGTTAGGCAATTTATTAATAATGACCTGGACCGACCACAAAGAAACGGAAAATGTGCTGATCAAGAGAGCCCATCGTGTAGGCAGAAGGTATATTTCCGATTGTAACTAAATTCGATAACTTTAAGGATAGCAAAATAGAGTGAGAGGCAAACGAGTAACAGCACCATGTGATCAAACATTTAGGCGACCAATCATGAAACGAAGGACGAATCGAAAGTGAAGCTTTAGGCGAAAGATAGGTAACAGGCAAGGTACTTGTGTTTATATTGGTAATTTGATAGAATTTAAATTTCATGTCAATGAAACCATTACATCACATGTTAAAATGCAGATTGTTTAAATGTCTCAATATTCGGCAAGTGAGCGTTCCTTTCAAACTACCATAAAATCGATTGCCTTCATACAAAATATAGAACAGTTAGCTTAAGAGACCTGAACTATAGTAAACTTCTGCTAGACGTGTTAACAGCCGCACAACGTCAAAATAAAAGCGACATCTTAAGTTATGAACTAGGTCTATTTAAATATTTACGGTAAAAATGTCATAAGTGCAATCAAAACCGTAAAAAGATAACCGAAGAGACCTACGGAAAAGGCAATTTCAAAATGATTATACTATGATATAAGAATTCGTAAAATTTGCCTACTTAATTTTTTCTATAGATTTATAAAGTGTGCAATAAATTGTTTGAATATGTTTGAATTTAATTTCTTGCAAAACTCTCCAGTTCGTTATTTATTACCATAGCGCGACTCGTAAAACTAAAACTAATTCTATAAATAGATTGCACAATGTTAAGGTCATCATTCTATTTATAGGTACAGCAATAACATACATAATGACCCACATGGTTAAAGAAAACGAAGAGCGCGATTAATTGACCGATAAGATTATTTTATTTGAACATGTTTGCATTTCGAAATTCTCCACTTCGTTATTAATTGTACTTATCGCGCCATGTTCATGTTTGATTAATCAAACACCCAATCGGACTGATCGGCTATTATGACAGACAAAATGACCCGAGAAGTTGCAATTGCACTTTCACAAAATCTGATTTCATTTCATAAAAGGGCGGACACCAATCAGACTTTCAACAATTTGTAGCGCTCCGAAAACGTTTTAAAAACAAAACTACATTTATAAAAGTTATCTTTACCGAAGGTCTAAGCGCGATCAATTAAATTTCAAAGCCTTTTACAAACTGTTAAATTCTAGAAATAGTAATATAAATAACCAATCTGCATTGATAGATACGGGAGCTTGGTTTGATTATTTTCATGAGTTACTATTTAAAAGTAACAAGTCTAATTTATGTACATATGAAAGAAATTGGGACTTAATACTGATAATGAATATCTGTTTTTAAATTCTGAAATTTTCTCTGATGAAGTCATCAAAAGTATAACAAATTGAAATGTTGAAAATCACAGGGAAGTGATGGTATTAGAGCAGAATTTTGTAAACATTCTTCGTCATTTTTCGCACCTGTCCTTTGTAAATTGTTTAATAAAATATTTTGTACTGTGGTTTTCCCTTACATTTGAAGGGATAGTATAATAGTGCCCGTATACAAGTCTGGGTCTAAGGATGACCCTTCAAATTATAGAAGAATTTCTTTAATCAATGTTATGTATAAGATTTTTTCTAATATTATATATGATAGGACTAAACAATTTGATATTATAAGTGTATCCCCAACCGGATTTCGAGACGGTTACTCTGCAATTGATAATATTTTTATATTACAAAACATGGTGCAGAAATATATAAGTAAACCGTGTGAACGATTTAATGTGCTTACGTAGATTTAAAAAAAAACGATGAATTTAAACAGTTTAACTTATTCAGTTATATAAATAGATGTCGTGTAAGAGGGAAATTATTCCCTGATCTTTTATCAATGTACTCACAACTCTGTCGATGTGTACAAGTTAGTACCATCAAAACTACATAATATCTTAAATGTAACATGTACAAGGCATTGGGACGTAACGAGTACGATTATGTTAACTTGTATATAAAGGAGATATCTCCCTTTCTGCATAGTAAGGGACATAGCAGTATATTCATTACGGACCAAATTACCGAAATTATATGCATTCTTTTCGCCGATGATGTCGCTAATTGCACCGATACTGCGATCGAACTTCAATCTCAGTTAAATTTTGTTATAATACCAGTATGTCTATAAATGAGAATAAAATTGAAATTATTGTATTAAGAAATGGGAGGCCGCTCAAATCATATGAAAAATAGTTCTGCAATGGCGTTTCGGTTAATGTCATCTCAATGTACAAATATATGGGTCTTTTATTTACACCTAAATTATCTTGGACAAAAGCAAAATCTTAACTTGCTGCACAAGCTAGAAAATCTATTTATGCTATTAAATCATATTAAACAATTTTTGGAAAATTCTTACAGTCTGATTATTTTAAATTATTTGACTCTATGCTAAAACCTATACTTACCTATGGTGCCAATATTTATGGTAGTGAAATCGCCGAAATCCTTGAACATGTTCAAAAACAATATTGTAACTATTTTCAAAGTATAAATTATTATGTTAATGATAATGCTGTATTAGGAGAATGTGGAAGAGCGTCTTTTTTTATTGACCATCTTGTAAAAATTATCAAATATCGGTGTAAACTTCTTTGTATGCCAGAACATAGACTTCCTAGAAATTGGTATTTGATTGAAACTAGACAAGATAATGTTGAAATACTTCAGTAAAAAACTTATGTATTCGTATGGGTTTGGTTTTGTATGGCTTAGTCAAGAAACTGGGGATATCAATCTATTATTATTGATTGTAAAACACAAAATTGGATAGAAGAAATTCAGAATTCACCCCGATGTGACACCTATAAATTTTTCAAATCTTTGTTAAAACCTGAAAAAAACATTTATCTATTGATATGCCATATTAGGTAAAAAAGTCAGTATCGAGACTTACATGTTTTAGTCAAAAATTATATATTTTAACTGGACGACTTTGGATTTCCCAAAATATGAGCGAATTTGCCAACACTATTTGCAAAATTTATCAATTCTTTTATAATAAATTGTAGATGAAATTTGTGTATTTTCTATTTGTAACAGATTTTCCCTACAAAGACAAGGTTATATATCTCCATGGCACAGTCATTCCATATTTTTTTTTTTGTAATTTAATTAAAACTCAAAATGAAGAAAAAATAAAGAGTCATGAAAATATGAAAATTGGTGATAACTGATATACTAGTAAATAGGAAAACAAGTCATAGATAACAACTCGGATTGAAGACACAGCTAAATATACATATTTATTTTGATTATATTGTGCATTTTGGGCCGGAGGCCTTTATTTTCAAAATAAAATGTTGTTGTTGTTGTTGTGCCGTTGTTTTCTTTTTGTTGTTAATGTTGTTGTTGTTGCCTGCCTCTCCTAAGACACTACTGGTGCAATTTCAAACTTTACACGAATGATCAGTACCATGTTAATTTATGCATATAGTCAGCATTTTTCAGCTAGTTAATTTTTGTCATAGTTGCAGGTCGTGTGTCATGGGTACCGCATGTAAAACACTTACTGTATCAATACGGATTTGGCTATGTTTGGATTGCAAACGAAGTAGGCAATCACGCGGTTTTTCTTAGAGACTAAAGGATTGTGTATACCAGGACATTTTTAGTGAGATCGAGAACTCTTCCAAACCATTGAGCTACAAACAGTTTAAAAGTGCTAATAATCCAGAGTACTACCTATCAGTGCCATTATCTAATTAACAAAAGCTCATGCTGGCTTGTTTTCGCTGATCAAGTCAACCACTCATGATAGAAAAGGAAAGACACTTAGGTCTTGTTAGAGATTGTAGGTTTTGTACATATTGCCACCCAGAAACAATGTTTATTCTATTGGAAACGAAGATCATTTCCTGATTATTTGCCCATGAGAAATTTATTTCAAAGCAGAAAGGTTAGCTGCTAGTGAGTTATTTTTCCTTATTATGAGTGATAATGAAACTGACAGCATTTTCTCATTTTAAAGATTTTTAGTGAAAGCTTTTGAATTAAAGGAATCATTTAATTCAAACAAACCTACATATACACCTCTTTCATTGTCAAATATCTTCCTAATTAAAACACATTGATACATGTATATCTCTGTTCGTAAGGCGGATACTTAAAAACATTTTCTATATAATATATTTATGATGTTGATTGAAAAAATAAATAACGACGCTACTCTATAACTAAAGTTGATGCCATTTTTTAATGTACTTTGGACCGGAAGCCTTATAATGCATTAAAAACGTTGTTGTTGTTATTGTTGTCGTTGTTGTTGTAATTACTAGTTTAAGAAATAATAGCAAACTGCAACAAAGCAAAATGAGAGCTGAAAACAAATTATATTTTAGTAAAATATAATGATCGCTGAACGACTGTATGCTTCATATTAATACATCATATCTAACTGTGAACATAAAATGTTAAGTTTGCCTTTCCATATAACTTATATAGTGAATATGTGTTGTATAAACTACTACATGTACTTACTTCTCCTGTTTACAAATAAAACTATACTAGGTGTCATCAATTTAAGTAATTTAATATTCTTAAACCAAGTATTTAACTTCATCTCTTTGGCTATAACATACAATCAAGCGATTGCTTGAATTGAAATTTATTTAATAATGATAAAAAAACATAACATTTAATCTTAATATCTATACGTGTACCTATGTTCAAATGAGCTATAATTGAAAATAGCAGTAAACTTCATTTACTATTGAAAATGTGTCAGAGTTTAATCGTATTCCATTTCATGCACAGTACGTTAACGGAGTACAGGTATTATTTACCTGCATTCACCATCTGTCTAGAGCATGCTCGTTGATTGCCTCATTTTGTCTAGGGTTTAATGGAAAGAGATAACGATAGACAGGCCATATACATTGGTTGCTTTTTTCTCGGGTTTATTATTGTGACGACAGGGAACGTGTTTTTACTTTTTGTCTATGATAGATGATATGATGAGAGAAATAACATCAATACATTCAACAATCTGATTTATACTCGTGGACTAAGCCCCCTCATACAGATCAGATAGCCTCGTGTTTTGATGCTCTTCTATTACCAATATAAAGATTACAAGAAATCTACATACAATATTATACTAATAGTTCTTAAGTACAAAATATTATCTCCCAAAATAAAATAATCAATGTCCTAAATGCTATGTTGAAGTACAACTGTATTACTATCTTTTTGTTACATCCCTTTACATTTATAACATCAATATCCGCATGGACAATTAAACTACGTTTATAATTTGTTAAAAAGTGATTATTTAATAATTGATTTTTGTAAGAAACAAAATTGGCTGATTATTAAAATAATTTATAAACATGCACTTATAATACAAAACTTTCCCCCTAGTCTCTGACCTCGAGCTGCTTATTTTCTATTTCTGCTTGTCGTATTTAAAAAGAAATACGTCAAAGTCATGTGGTGAGGACACTTCGATTATCATCAAAATTGGTCGAACAAACTTTAACTGGTAAATGCCATGGTGACCTTGGCCTTTGACCACAAAATCAATAAAGGTCCTATATTTGCCGCGGGTAATTGTCCTAATTATAAGGCTATATAAACCACTGTTTTCATACGAAATAACAGATCTACAACGTTATGGATTGAGTGGCCATTTCTGGTGATATTTCTGTTGCATTGGCCATATAAAGCAGTAAAAGATGACATATAAACATGTTTTCGTCTTTATAAACTAAAATTATGGACGGAATGGAGGTTATAAAATATATGTTTAAGATGTTGGCCCGGGCGTACTGACCGACCTTACCACAGTATGCTGCCACTTGTTCAGTGGTAGTATAATTAAATCAACAAAGAGTATAGAAAAAAATTATTTTTATTTCTAAACCTTTTTGGTTCGCAAAAGTGTTTTAAGATCATTAAGTAACAGCATTTGTTTTCTTTAATCATAGTGTTATTTGATACACTGTTATTTTCAATACAAGATCGACATACGCTTGTATTTATGCGTCAGCCATAATATCTTCAAGTTCTTTTTCTAACTCATCAGCTAGCTCCAAAACCTTTTTAGCTGCCTCGGAAATGTTTCCTTTTGACAAATCAATTACATCTTTAACAAAAAACAGGACATCTAGCGGCAGTGCTACTATAGCGAGAGCGTGGCCAGCAAAACGGGCAGTCTGACCAAGCTTTAAGAGACTGGCCGCAGCCTTTTCGGAGACAACAAGCCTACGAGCAACGGATGTTCCAAGTTTGACACCACCAGGAATGCTTTTTCCAATCTTTACACCACCCTTTATTCCTTCTGCTAACGATATCTCATTAGCTTTATTAACAGCCTTTTTCAGTATATCAAACGATGCTCTATCCTTATCTAACGCTTCCTGAACACTCCCAATATAACCTTTCTCTATAAAATGATTAGTAACGGCTGCGCCAATAGATGTTACCCCTCCAGCAACAGCAAGTCCTGTAAGTGCCGCCGCAGGAGCAAGGCTTGCACCAAAAGTGAAAGGTGCTGCAAAATAACACGCAGCTGCACCCAAACCGGCTGCAACACTTGTTCCACCCCCGACAGCACTTGCAATTTTCGCGTTCTTAGCATGTTCATTCATGTTCTCCCCAAATTGTCGAAGTTCCTTTATGGTTTCTTTTCTATCACTTGCCCATGTTGAGACTGGATCGGCCTGAAATTCATTTTTTTTAATTAAAGATATGAAAAATGAAATGTAGACAACACAAATGAACGATATAACTTATTCTGAGAAGACTAACTACAAAATTTCGTAAGTCACACTACTTTTGAAATGTCCGATAACTGGTCAGTAACTTCACGCCGATACTTCTCTTACAGTGTGTTCACTTCACAATGTATTACTTTTAAATACATTTTAAAAACGTGTAGTGAACAAAGAAAGTTGTTTACAAACTGCAAACGACGCTGTAGATACATTTGCCCCTGTACCCCAACCAGGGACACACCCCACCCTCGCGGGAGGGAAATTATCAATTTCGGTTTTGCTACGCCCGTAGTTTTTTTTTGCTATTACGCTCAGTATAACTATTTCATGGACACATATTAAAATTAATCGCATGATACTGTGTAAACCTCATGAAACCGAAAGTCTGTTTATAATTATATTGTGTGCATTGACCGTATAATCAGTATGCAATTGACAGGTTAATAAAATCAAACAATATGTAGGTTCATACACTTAAAATGCAGTAATAGTACATATAGATGCTGTAAATCAAATTAAACATGTAAACTAAATTCGAAACAGGTTTTATATTTATCAGTATTTTACATTTGTTTAAAGCTCCAAAAATTCTAAAAACTTTGGTTTCGTTTTTACAAGGTATTTTTCTGTTGTTGTTTTTCTTAATTGTTTTTTATTCCTTTTTTGATTTTGATAATTTTTAAATCAAGCAGTTGTGTCATATTGGGATTAAATCATTATATTCATGTGTAAAACATAAAAGGATAAAACAAATAATAAATACATTTCTTGTATATACAATCTATTGACGATCAAACACTTATATAATTATGTATCTTTATCAAGTAATGCAAAATGAAAATTTAACTTACCATTTTCAATGATTTTTTTTCAGAATTCTTTATGGAAAATACCTCTTAGACACTCTAGCAAATACCAACAAAGACACTGATGACAATGGTATTATAATACCTCTTTATATAGGTAACTTACAACTCTTCTCTGAATTTAAGATGTGAGGGATTGTACATAATTTTCCTCGATTTTTTTATCTTTATTTTTTGTATTTCTATGAAAGCTTTGGCATGTTCTTAACTCCATCGTAGGATATCAAATATTGGGTGATGTTAAATTCTTAAAAGTTTAAGCATTATATTCGTTTTTCTACGAACTGAATTAAATATAGAATATTACTTCAATGAAAACATTTATCCTCATTCGTTTTATTCATCGAAAAACATAATAGTTCGACAGTGATAATAATGTAGTAAAAAAAACTAGCAATAGTTTTAAATATCTTTCAGTCAGAATAGTTAACCGCATTTGATGATACGTGTATGTACGAAACCACTAGTGTGAAACACGGTATTTGTATAGAGAGCATAGAGTCACCGCCTTGTCCGTCTTTCCGTCCGGCTGCCCATCCTTCTATCCGCCCTTCACTCTCTTTTCCAGAGAATAATTTAAAAAGTATTGTTGACATTTGATTTAAACTTCACAAAATGATACAGACCATTAAGCGGAAGAACAGTGTCTAAGAACAATAACTCAAACTTGGATATTTTTTGTACATTTTGTATTATCTCTCTTAAGTTAGTATGGTTTTCCTGATTTTAACTTCTTACCTACCTATGATGCCAGATTTTTAAAGAAACTTTAACACAGTTCAGACTAGTGAGCGGAATTGCGAAGTGAAAAACGATAACGTTTGTATTCTTTTTTATGCCCACACTTTAGGGGGGCGTTTAGATTTACCCTTGTCCGTCCATCCATCCGTCCGTCCGTCCTCATTTTGTGTCTCACGAAGCTCAATGTTTACCTAGAGTCATGAAACTTTACAGGAATGTTCATCATCATGTGTAGTTTAGCACCTGGGTATTTTCGTATGGATTTATTAGTATTTTTAGAATTATTGCCCTTGACTTAGTAAAAATTTCCAATTTTCAACTTGTGTCAAAAAGTATATGACCTAGAGTCATGAAACCTTACAGGAATGTTGCTCAGCATGTGAAGTTGTGTACTTCGGGTTTCGCTTGTGGATTTTTTCTGGTTTTTTTTAGAGTAACTGCACTTGTCTATATAAAAACATTTTAATCAACTTGTGTCACAAGTAGCTGAAAGATTATTTGACCTGGGATCATGAAACTTTACAGGAATTTTGATCATCATGTGTAGTTGTGCACCTGGGTATTTTTGTGTGGATATATTTAATATTTTCAGAGTTATTTAACTTAGTAAAAATTATCATTTTCAACTTGTATCGCACGTAACTAAACAATTATTGACATAGGGTCATGAAACGTTACAGGAATGATGATCAGCATGAGCATCTGGGGTTTCGCTTGTGAATTTATATGTTTTGTCAGAGTTATAACACTTGACTTAGTAAAAATTTTCAATTTTCAATTTATGTCGTGCGTAGCTTCAATGTGTTTAATCTAGAGTCGTGAAACTTAACTGGAATGTTGGTCAGCCTGTGTAGTTTTTCATCTTGGCTTTTGCTTGTAGATTTATCCAAAATTTGTAGTGTTATTGCCCTTGAGTTAGTAAAAACCGTTTCATTATGCTGTGTTATTTTTTCCATGGGTTCTTGGGTTATAATCAACCAATTTTACAGGAATAATGATCACCATCACTGTGAGACAATGCATCATGGATTTTGTATGTGGCTTTTTTCAGTTATTGCCTTTGACTCAGTATAAATCTGCAACTTTTAACTTGTTCATACAAAGCTCAAGAAGTATTTGACCTGTTGGCCTGAAAGTTTAAAAGAATGTTGATCAGCATGTGTACTTATGCACCTTAGGTTTCGCTTGTAAATTTATTCAGTATTTGTATAGTTCTTACCCTTTACGTAGTAAAAGAATTTTAGTTTTCAACTTGTGGCACATATAGCCCAAACAATAATCAATCTAGAATCAGAATCCTAAGATTGACAAAACAATGGAGTGTAGGGGCACCCGTATGGGCACATTTCTAGTTTTTAACTTATTCCCTTAATCATAATATTTCCTGTCTGGAGATTAACTTGAAAATTATGGAAGGAATTTGATTTATAGTGTTATTAAGCGAAAATGTAGTGTACATAAGCAATAAATCTACCTTGCTGCTTTTTCTGAATTCTTTTCCTTTACGATATTTTAATTTCTAAAATGTTTGTCAGGAGTATAACTTTTAAACTGTAAAAAAATTATTAAATCTTCATATAATTTTGCTGTTTTTATTGCTTTTGATGGATCACTTTTTTCCAGATATTCACACAGTTATAGAAACTAGTCAAATGAATTGCAGAATTAAAAAGCAATAAACATGACTTAGTTTTTAAACTTTTTTTTCTTTTCATACATTATTATGATTATCCAGGAAATAACTGGAAAAGTATTGAAATAATTTTGTTATACACATTAACACAACACATATAGACAAGATAGAGAAAATATTTTGTCTGAGATCTACAATGCTTCATTGCTTGATCTTAAATCATTAATCATCTCCCTTTATAATAATTAATGATGCTTGTTACACATTTGGTTGTAATCTATGACCTTCATTGATCGATATCTTTCATATTTTGTAGAAACATTCCTGAGGTGGTTACCTTTGTCAAGGTAACACTGGTGCTTCAAATAGATTTTTACACTAACTTTCTTATTTACTAATGCTTTTCATATTTAGTTTGTAGATACTTTGGGTGGTTTTCTAATATTTTGTGAAGTAATGGGACAGTTCGACACAAAGGTCAAGGTCATCGGTGCTAAACATGGATGTTTTATACTTTTGCTTACACATCCTTTATTTCTCTTGTTCAGTGGGTGAATGTCTTTGTTTGTACTATAATCTTGGGTGGAGGAGAGGTGGCCACTTGAATCAAGGTCAATAGTATAAGACGGATTTTATTGATGATTTTGCTCCTGCAGTCGTTACTTTATTGATTGATTTATTACATGTTTAAATACCTTCAGTTCTCTTTTAACTTTTACTCTTACAAACTTTATTGATTTATGTGCATTGAATACATCGACAAATGTGCAGGGTCGGGGAGCATTCTACAGCTTGATATCATTTTTCCGTCTTTTTAATTTTGTTACCAGGTGTTTTTTTTCTTTTTCTGTTACGAATGAATGCCTAAGCAATAGTTGATGATTCACATCAATGAGAATAACTTATCACTTCCTGCAGCTTTCCATTCATTTGTCATTTTCTTTTCTTTTTCTCTTTTCCTTTAATTTTCATTTTCTCTTTTTTTTGTAATTCACCCGGACACCATTCAACAGCTCTTTTAAATATCAGTTTCCTACTTAGCGCTTAAGTTGATAGTTTTTATATCTAATGTGTAATTTACCCAAAAATGTGTTAATAAATTTATTTAAATATATTGCGGAATTTCATGTCATCTAATATATTTAGAAGACATTGTATACCGTATTATAATTTAATTCGTGAATAAAATGTAGAAGGATATGTTTGCAAGGATACAATTATAGCAGAGGCATGACTCTGGTTACAACAATAACTTTTTTTTGAGAAACAAATATATTATTACTGAAATGTGTTACTTTTATTGTGAGTTCGTACTGTAAAAGCTGTTAAAAAGGTTATTGCTTAAATTTGAAAATAAATAGAGGATATTCAAGTTTCTTCTATAAATACATGATTCATTTTCATCGATTGGTATGAAAATAAATATTTCACGAGTGACAGCAGCCACGGGTGAAATATGATAATTTTCACACCTTAAGATAAAAATGAATATCATGTATCAATAGAAAAAGACTTGAAGTTTCTATTAATTTTGTGTATTTTGTGTATTGGCTGAATTTAGAAGAAAGTAGTCCGGCAATACAGCAGTAAATACGGAAAATATACTTCACTGTAGTGAAAACTAAATTTTCACAGTGAAAATTGAAATAACGTATTTTGTTTCATCAATATTTCTCAATATTTCATTTATAAGTATATTATTTTTTTCTCAGAGGTGTACCATTTATTTGGGAATCTTACTTTAGGAAGAATTTATATAATATGGTGAACCGCCAGCTTAAGTTATTGTTGTCACTGTTCAGTAGCTTCATTACATAAAAATGTCACGGAAATTGGTTGCACAAAAGTTATTTTCTCAATATAGGTAAATATTATCTTTCTTTCAACCACTAAAATGTTTAGAGATGTTCAGATTTCATGACATTTAAAAGATATTATGTTTATGCATAGCCATTTACTTTTTGAAAAGTGTTCATACATGTTGCAGTCTAATCAAACATTCATAATTATTACTAAACCTTTTACAATATTAAATTCTTTATTTAACTGAAGTTTACACCGACCTTATTGTATTTAAAATATCACCACGAAACCCTAGTTTAAGCAGTGAAATATAAAACTTTGGCGCAATCAATAAATATACTACGTGCGCTATTAAAACAAGTTATGCATAAAGTTTAACGACAGTCCCATATCTGTTCTAAATCCAACCTTAACCTCTACATATACACTTTATAACTATTTTATCAGTAAGATACAGGTCTATTGTTCAGAATACGCGTAAATGGTAATGTGAAACCCCTATAATTGTTAACATAGTAATAACTACCTTCCTTTTTAGACTTTTAACAAATCTGACAAACTATTGTTTTAAACTTATTTTATGAAATTATAATGCTAAAGATGACATATAAAATATTTTACCATGAATGAAAAATAAATTCCGGACCACAAAGATCAGGGTGACAATGGCACACTGGGGCTGTAAAATCATGTTTCCCAACATAAACCATTACTTATTTTATTAATGGGAAGATTTGATTGATGCATGAACAAACCAACACTTACAATACAACTGTCGTAGTGAGTAATTCAGGTATGGCCTTGACAGTCAAGGCCAAATAATTGAATTTTGCTAAAATTACACTAATTGTGTTATATAATCAGTTCAATGAAACAAACGCTTTTCTTTAGCTTTCGACGTTTGGTTTTAGTTTTTTTGTGTGTGTGTGTTTTTTTTTTTTTTTTTTTTTTTTTTTCAGAAAAAAATAACGCTTAACTTCCTGTGCACCCAGCAGTTGTCTCAGTGGTTTGATTTTATTTTGTTGTATGATGTTGCTTTTTTGTGTTTTTTTATGTTATTTTTATTCTTAAGGGTGTAAATATTATAACGATTTGATTTACATATGGACTAGTCACGACTAAAGATAAAACCGTCAGGAAGTGCAGTTAAAGAAAGATCTTGACCTTTAAATGACCTTAAACTTTTAAGTCAATGTGAATTTATGATATTTTTAAATGACCAGATCTTTGTTATTGATGAACAGATTTGATTCATATAGGGACATTACAACAATGACAAATTTATGTTACATAACTTAAGTATTTTTTTTACCTAAAATTATTCTTCAGTCTCAAAGACGAAACTTAATTTGACGTCTGTAAAACGACTAAAATGACGTGTAAGACAACATCATCATACTGCCTGAAGAGAATATGAATTTTAATTTGATTATCTTTGAGGCACCTTTTACCTTTATGAAATGTGTAACAACTTTGTTATTTAATGATGTATTTGATTTATCCTTGGACAACACAATGCCCCTTAACATACCTTCATTTATAAATGTCTCTTTAGTTTAGTTTTGCATCTGATGATAAGAAAACGTCAGGTTTTGCACATGTTTGCAGTGGTTCTTGATTTTGTGATTAAAAGCTGTTTGCGAGGGATTTTTGTCACATTCAGTGAAAGTTTATTTATTTATATATTGTTTATACTGGACTTTTACCTGCAAATATATCATTGATGCATAATAGTGCTCTTTCACTCCGAAGGTTAGAGCTATTCATTAGAACTTAAAGGCAGATTGTGAGTTACGTAACTATGTTCATGTCCAAGAAAGATTACACTTCTTAATGTTTGTTTCAGTCAAACAACATGCATTATCTTTAAAATTATATAACATTTCTAAAAAAAATAGCTTGCATGTTTTCATCCTATAACTTTAATTTAATGTACTAATTCCGATTTGAAGGAGTTTGTGCCATCACATCAACTTGTTCCACCCGATGTTGAACATGTTTTGATGAGCATTTTAAAAGTATTTTGCTTAACTTACTGTGCACCCAGCAGTTATCTCAGTGCTTTGATTTCATTTTGTTGTATGATGTTATTTTCTTTTTTCATGTTATAATCTCATGGCATTCACATAGCTTTCAAATGAACTTATCAACAAAAGTTGAAGATTCAGTTCATGGACAATATGTAACCTTTTTTTACCTATTGCATTTTTTCCATGTTTGCAACCGTCCATTATCACATTTGGGTGTAAAACCATCGCACCGAGAGCACTGCTTTTAATAATATTGCTTTCGTGGGATCTACCATCTTACTGAACTTGTATGTTGGTTTAAGATTTATATAATATATTGATTTCATATATAATACTTTAGTTCCATTAATCGCTACTTTTCTTTACTTTATATTGAATTATAAGTTATTCGTTTATCCCTAAAATGAGTAATTTAAAACACAAAAATTATACAAAAATGTTCTTGTTTTTATATTTGCAAGGAAGATAAATAATACACCATTCGAAGAAAATATAAAATATGGCGATATGTACTATCAAACATCTTTATAATTATCGCACGACGAATGTAATGTTTTCAATTTCTTTCCAACACAGTTCAACAGCTGTATTAAATATCGGTTTTCTACTTAACTCTTCAGTTTGTCGTGTAGGATCATTTCTCCCCCCACCCCCCTCCCAATAAAAAATATATCAAAATGTACGATTCTTTTTTTATTTTCGTTTTATTTTTATAACATTGAGAATATCTAAAACAGTAAAAAGTTGTCGCGCTTTCTAACCCTCCTTTTTCGCCAGATCTTGCCCCTTGTTCCGAGGCTCCAAAAACACCTTGCTGAAAATATCAAACGCAAAAAATCTCCGTTCGGCTATTTTCCCATGTCTGAACAGTATACCTCGACAACATTTTGAAGAAAGCATTTAAAAATTGGTCTTAAAGACTCAAACATTGTATATCATATGGTAGTGGGTATTTTGAAGGATAGAGATAATTATTTTATGATATTTTAAGGTAGTACACCCCTAATGCACTGTCTCCACTTTGAAGAGTATTCAAATAGGCTAAAATCACTGTAAAGTGTATTGAAACTGAGGGGGCGTGGGTTCAAACCCCAGAAGGGGCAATTTTTTTTCTTTCTTTTTTTTCTTTTTAACATTTTTTATTAATCTCTCAGACCCCCTATGGAAGAAAAGAGTGTTTTATTTTAATTATATAATTATTGCAGGTATTTATTTGCTAGATAATGCCAAATTTAATAGCAAATATGGTACCAGATATTTTCAAAGTTTGATAAAAACTACCCAGAAAAAGTATATTATATTTTGCAAGATCAACCAATATACTTTTAAGAAAATTTAGGCAAACTTTGAAAACAGCCCCTCATTGTGGTAAATTTTACGGATATTTCAAATAAGGCTGTTTACATGGCAAAATGGTCAAATAAGTGTTTAAAGCGGGTTGGGTAGGGTTACATATTATATACATATTAAAAACATTTCGTTTAAAAACAATCATTTTGCTTGTTTAATTTGTTACCTAAATGGCATTATTTATTTCTTAACAATGAGCAAAAGGAAAACATTTTTCATAATGATGATATTATAGATTATTTAGAGTTTCCTCATTTCTGAAAAAATCCCTTCTAATGGCAAAGTTTTAGTTAATAAAAACGCCCATAACTCATAAACTACACGGTAAATTTTGTTTAAATTTTGCATACAGGTGACATTTAAGGCATATGACTGTCCTATGTTGTCATATTTACAATTCCCTATAGTGCCCATTAGGGGTGTACTACCTTAATTCACAAATACATTTTGTTTTATTTCTGCTGCAATAAAAAAAAATCTAAACATGGGATAAATATGAAGACTCAGATATACCGGCTAGAAAATTTATAGATTGTCGGTTTAAAAACAATTATTTTCTTACTTTTTAGATAAATATTCATGAAAATTTTGAGAGTAAGAACAGCTTTTATCATTATAAAGGATTTTTAAGGGTAAGATAAAAATATATTGTTATATTTCACCGAGAGAAGATTTCATAATTTCATTTGATCATAAATATAAATCTAAAACATTTTTAATTATTAATTTCAGGGGGAGAGCAAAGTAGAAAAGGTGTGGAGGAGGGTTGGTGTTTGGCAACTGGGCGGCATTGATTTTGTCATGTTGAAAAGAATCATTGGAGATTGTCCTTGCTAACATGTTACATTTTTTGTCTTAAACGGCGACTAAAATCTAGATTAAAATTCAAAATCTATAGCTCAGATTTATGAATTTCTACAAAACTTAAAGTATTCGGTTGGTTTTAAAAACAATTCTTTTCCTACTGATAAAATAAATATTCATGAAAATTTTAAGGATAAGAACGTATAGCTTTTACCCTCCAATGGTATCGCAATATCAGTTTGCATTGCAGCCCTGTCCGCGGTGCTATATGTCATTTATGTGTCTCCTGGACAATATATGGGCAAAATATATGTCAACAGTGTGATTAATCCGCGGGATCCCCTCTTCTTGAAAAAGAAACCGCGCTGAGTGTACTGTACATATTAGCGATAACTAGTTCGTGTGCGTTTACAAACGTTTTAAACATACAACAAAAAGTAGAAAAATCCAAATTGTAATGGCATAAAGCTATTATGTCCTCGGTATCTCTTGGAAAATAAATGAGCAAAATATATGTCAACAGTGCGATTCGTCCCCGGGATCCTCTTTTTTTTAATAGAAAGAAATCGCGCTGTACATACATATTAGCGATGACTGCAAATGTAAGCGCAGATTGGTCCGTGCGTTTGCACACGTTATCAAGTATTGTACAAAAAAGTAGACAAATCCAAATTGTCATGTCATGCAACCACCGTATAAATGCAAAAACATGTCACTTCTAAGTACATTCAAAAGTATATCAGAAAACTACGGGGTGAACATACGTTTTTTAATGGGTGATATTTTTTAGATCAAAGACGATCAAAGAAAAAACTCAGAACGTCAACTAAGAGGGAACGTCCGTCCTTTATCACAAAAAATGAGAACTACTCTTAAAAAATACAGGTGCAATTTCATTCAAACTTTACAGGAATGTTACGTACCAAGTCTAGTTGTTCGTATCGTCGGCATTTTGCAATTCAATAATTTTTTTCGGGCTACCTATCTTATACAACTAAAGCATTTTGAATTAAATTTAACATGATTGACTCGTACCTCAAATTCTTGTGCATATTACACGGGTGTTTCGACTAAATTACGTTTCGCTAAGTTATGGCCGTTGAATGAAAAAGACATTTTGATCGGTTAATGATTTTTGTGTCGCCTGCTACACAAAAGCTGGTACATGCTACAAATTAGCCACAATTTATATAGATCACTTAGCCATAGTCTGCCTCTCCTAAGACACTGCTGGTGCAATTTCAAACTTTACAGGAATGATCAGTACCAAGTAAATTATGCATATCGTCAGCATTTTTTAGGGTAAATAATTTTGTCATAGTTGTGGCCTTTCATTTACTGTAGTTAATCAATTAGCAGCAAACTGCAGCTGAAATCAAATTCTATTATAAAAAAATAAAATGATTGCTGTACTATTCTTCTGCTACATATCTCACTGTAAACATAAGATGTAGTGAATATTAATGGTGTAAATTACTATTACAACTTTACATATCCTTTTTACAAATAGTGCTTGGTGAATATATGTGTGTCACAAATTAAAGCGATTTAATATTCTTAAACTCAGTTTAACGTCATCTGTTTCGGTATATCATACAATCAAGCGATTGATTGAATTAAAAAAAATTTAATGACTTATAATGTTTAACAAAAATATTAATCTTAATATCTAAACATGTATTTATATTCAAAGTAAGCAATTAGTGAAATAAGCAGTTAAATTCAGTATTATGAGTGATAAACTCATATATGCCTAAGGCTTAGATGTAAATTTTTATATTTTCTGACATTAAGCAACAATAATGTTTGATGCAAAAATAGAAACCTACAAACAGTATATAACCAGTTTTCATAAGTACAAAATATAACCCCCCACCCCAAAACATAAATAAATAAATGAATAAAATTGATAATTATAATCAATGTCCTAAATGCTTACGGATAATTTTCTTTTTTATTACCTGCCTTTACTGTAATAACACAAATATCGTCATGGACAATTAACCTACGTTTATATAATTTGTTCAAATGTAATAATACTACTTTATTAAACGTGAACACTATAGTTCCGTAGCTTTTTGTACGGTAAGAAAAAAACTGACCATCTATCAAATGAAAAGTAATAAACATGCTCTTATAATACACTTTTTCCTAGCCTCTGCTCTCAGTGTTTATTGCCATATTACCAAATAATAACATTGGACGTTTCTGTGATATTTCTGTTGCATTTGCCATATAAACGAGTAGAGTAAAAGATACCATTTAAACCGTTTTCCTCTTTATAAACCGTTTTCCTCTTTATAAACTAAAATTGTGGACCGAATGAAGGTGTTAAAATACATGTTTAAGATGTTGGCCCAGGCGTCCTGACCGACCTTTCCATAGTATGCTTCCACTTTTAAAGTGGTAGTATATTTAAATCAACAAAGAATTTAGAAAGTACATTATGTTTATTTCTAAACATTTTTAGTTCACAAATGTTTTTAAAATCATTAAAAAACAGCATTGGTTTTCTTAATAATGATAGTGTTATTATATCTTCGTTGTTACATAAACTGTTATTTTCAATACAAGATCGACATACACTTGTATTTATGCGTCAGCCATTATATCTTCAAGTTCTTTTTCTAACTCATCAGCTAGCTCCAAAACCTTTTTAGCAGCCTTGGAAACATTTCCTTTTGACAAATCAATTAGATCTTTTACAAAAAACAAGACATCTAGCGGCACAGCTACTATAGCAACAGCATAGCCAGCAAAACGAACAGTCTGGCCAAGCCTTAAGAGAGTGACTGCGACCTCTTCAGGCAAAACAAGCATACGAGCAACGGTTGTCCCAATTTTAAGATTACCGGGAATATTCGTTCCAATATTTACACCACCCTCTATTCCTTCTGCTAACGATATCTCCTTAGCCTTATCAATAGCCTTCTTCAGTGCATTAAACGATGATCTGTCCTTATCAAGAGCTTCCTGTACTCTTCCAATAAAACCTTTTTCTATAAAATGATTGGTCATGTTTGCGCCAATAGATGTTACACCTCCAGCAACAGCAACTCCTGTAAGTGCAACTGCAGGAACAAGGGATCCACCAAACGTGAAAGGTGCTGCAACATAACACGCAGCTGCACCTAAACCGGCAAAAACACTTGTTCCTCCGCCAACAGCACTTGCAATTTTCGCGTTCTTAGCATGTTCATTCATGTTCTCCCCAAGTTGTCGAAGTTCCTTTATGGTTTCCTTTCTATCACTTGCCCATGTTGAGACTGGATCGGCCTGAAATTCAAAATTTTAATTTAAAGATATGAAAATGACAACACAACTGTACGTTATAACTTATGCTGAGCAGACTTGCAAGGCAGAACTAACAACAAAATAATGTAAGCCACACTACACTACACATAAGAGAATGATCTTATATAACTATATTATTATACTTATATAATTCTATCATATTAACCGCGGCGCAGGACTTAATAAAGCCATTTAATAAAACGATATTACACATGTGTAATAACACTTTGACGTGACGTCATTTGTGCTATATAGAAACATAGCGTTAAAGCGCGCTAATGTCAGCGTAACACTTTGAAAATTACTCATTATAACAGTTTACTGTTCTTATTTTATATATGTTATAAACAGAGTATTATATTCGTGTAGATTCAATACTAAATTTATTGAACTCGTTGAATAAAACAATATTATGTTCGCCATAGGCTCGCATAATATTATTTTGTTCCTACCGTTTAATAAATTAAGTATTAAACTACACTCATTCAATATCCTCTATATACAAAAGTTAAAATAATTTGTTGCAGGTATTTTACTATAATACAAACACATGGAAATGGGTGATCCCCGATAATGCAGAAGCATTATGAACAACAAAATTAAAGAAAATTGCAAACTTTGTTTGACAGAGTCTGTTCATGAGGGATAATGAAAAAGTTTCCCACAGTATAAATAAAGTGATAGATACTGCAAATCAGTCATAAATCGCACAAAACATGTACATCATTACTTGAATCTCGAACCTTTTTGCTTGTTTTAAATCGGAGAACTATTTGCTGAAGTTTAATTGTCTTGGATTTTTTTGCTCATCTGGAAACGTGCAGTTTTAAATACAATTAAGTATTGGAATGGCGTAAGTAATAACGCAAATAAAGGCATTATAACGCGAATCAAAGGCGTTATAACGCGAAAAAGTACGTTACTACGACGTTTGTTCTGCGTAATAACGCAATACTATAATGCAAAAAGAAAATCTATTTCCATTCTAACGTGTTTATTAAAAGAGAGCTAATAAAAATTTATTGAAATACATTGAGCGTAGACGTTATTTTCCTAACACCATTTTGTTTATCGACGGCATATAGCAACATTAAAAGGCCAAATTCATTCTTGCGCTCGACAAAGACCACTGGGCGTCTCTCTGGCTTATGACTTTTTCACATGCACAGACACAGGGAGATTCAAGCTAGCGTCGTTGATAAAATTACCCCCGCACCCTTGGACCCCTACCAGGACTCTACGCTGGACGTACCATGTAGCCTAAAGCGGTCCCTCTAACCCAACAATCAATTTCTGCCTTGCTACGCCCGTACATGTAGTTTATCGTTTTACGTTATACCGCTCAGTATAATCAGAATGCAATTGACAGGTTAATGAAATCAAACAATATGTAGGTTAAAACGCATAAAATATAGTACATTTGGAATATGAAAAGAAAAGTGTGTTTCCTAGAACTTATCTCATTTAAATGTTTAGTAATCTGTTCTTCGAAACATACTTTCCTTTTCGCTATAATGCTTAGTATAACTATATCATACACACAAATTAGATTTAATCGCATTTACTGTATAAACCTCGTGAGAAGGTTGATAATTATATTGTATGCTTTGACCGTATAATCAGTATGCAATTGACAGGTTAATACAATTAAATATAAAGCTTAAAGATTCTGTATGTTATAATTTAGGTTGCACACTCAAGTGAAATTATGGTTAGAAAACAATTTTCAAACATCGGTGAATATGTAAAATATGTACTGCAAATATTTTAACATATTAAATTTAATCATTAAAATATATGCATTCATTTCTTATTGAAAAATTTGACTTGGACATAATAGAAAGTATTTTTTTATAACCTCCCTTTATTTACATGAAATGGTAATTCGGTAATATCTGTATTAATAATGCTTTTTGGAACTTAATTACAAAATTGATACATCATGTTTAAGATATAAAACCATAAAATTATTTGTGCTATAAGATCTTTAATATGCTTAAAATACAGTATGCTGTTAATCAAATTACACATGTAAACAAAATTCGAAACTGATTTTATTTTACATACAGTTTAATATCCAAAAAGTCTTAAACATATTGGTTTCGATTTTACAAGGTTTTTCTGTTGTTGATTTTTATGTATTTATTCCTTTTTTATTTTGATAATTTTTTTTAATCAAGCAGTTGTGCCAGATTGGAATAAGATCATTTTATGCATATGTAAAATATATAAGGCTAAAAAACAATAAATACTTTTCTTGTTTATACAATCTATTGACGATCAAAACTTTTCATATATATATGTATCTTTATCAAGAAATGCAACATAAGAAGTGTAACTTACCATTTTCAATGATTTCAATGATTCTTCAGAATTCTTTATTGAAAAAATACCTCTTAGACACTCTAGCAAATACCGACACAGACACTGAGACTACCTATTAACATACCTAACTATACTCTGACTTTGGAATGTGAGGAATTGTACATTTCCTATTTTTTGTATTTCTAGGATCACTGTGGCACGTTATAAACAGGAAAGTTTATCTACTTAACTTCATCGTGGGATATCTAATGAACTATA